CATGTGGTGGTCAGAGGTCCCCAACGGGTGACCGCCTGCCAGGCCGATGCTTAGCAGTTTCCGCAACCACTACTGAGGATCGTGCTCCATATGGTGGTGGCTTGACATTCCGCATCCGAGTCATTGTTTGCCGCAATTTCGTCATCCCTGTTGGTAGCGGGCTTAATAATTACGCGACATTTATGTTCGCTGTCGTCGGACTTGTTGCTGGATCCGGCCCTTCCCACGTGACTGATTCTCCTGCCCACACAATGTTTTAGTATGGGGTATCGAAACAACAAGACGTTGCGCCTGTTGATTGACTGTGAGCCTGAGAACCATGACTCGAGCAGCTCGCTGCTCACGCGGTTGTCACCTCTTGCGAGGATTTCGCCTTCGTTTAGCTCAAAAATATGGCTGGGTTCTGTCGAATGAGCTGCAACAGGGAGTTAGCGCCTCTCCTCGCTGTGTGCTCGGTCATTCGCGTCCGGAGTAAGCTCCCGGTTTGTCGGACTTAGTTGCTTTGTCCACATCTGCAGCAGGTGCGGTAAATGGTCCGCCGGATTGGCGTAGGGTTGGATTCACGCGGATCAGCTCCACGCTATCTCTCATGCGCCAGTCAACCATCGCAGCTTGTCAGTCGTTCGATGTCTGATTTGGACAGATACTCCCTGAAGGCCTAAGTTGAAACCACGCACGCGTATGTCGGTGATGGATCTCATGTCCGAACCGAAATCCTGAAATTTGTTTAGGATTAGGAAGGAGTACTTGAGTGGGAGGTCGGCCGAAAGTAGTTCGGACACTCAAGCATGTCGGCTCTTGAATGTACGCTTTTTGGGCGCCCGGAAAAAAACTGCCCTTGATAGGCAACGACCACCTTAACGACCTTGTTAATTGAAATATCTATTTTATAGAAAGCACAAACAAAATCGCAGTTCATTTTACTTATTTGGTGAAAAAAAATTACATCTTAGAAGATATTTTTCCAATTCCCAGAGATATTTTGAGCCTAATTAGCCATTTATTATTTATTGTATGATTTTCGTAAAAACATGCGATGGATGTGGACTGTGTTACGAAGGTCAGTGTTACACAGACGGGGAAGATGTTATTTGAATGGCTTTGTAAGGTTTTTCACAAAAATTCACAATTAGAAACTTTTAAAGCCGAAAGCTGGCCTTCTTCGAGAATTAAAATTAAGCAAGACCTGATTGACCGTCAAATGAGTTTTGTGTATGTTGAGTTTATGAGGACAGCGAAGATCAATAGAACTAATGCATGCTACTTATGTCGTCAGTTTTACCGAAGCTAGCGGCTTCTTCAGTCGGCCAAAACGAAATGCGTTCAAAAGCCGGTCTGACCCAAGCGCGATGCTCATGACGATCGATACTTCAACCTAAGGTACTCTGAATTTGGGTGCGCCTTCTATTAGATCAGTCACCTCAAGTGATTGTGGACTGGCGCGGACTCCCCAAAACCCTAGAAAGGCATGTCATGCGTGAGTCTCGGCCTCGTT